CCTACTCCTTTGAGCCACAGGCGCTACCCTCTCTCTCTTCCTTAAATGCAGGTTTTCCCAAAGGTTTTATCTTTAGTTTCTTTGTTTTCACTCTACTACACCCAATCACTACTGGGTGATTTTTATTATGTTTATTTATTGTTTTTTTTTTTTCTTTTGATACAGAGTCTCACTTTGTCACCCTCGGTAGAGTGCTGTGGCATCATAGCTCACAACAGCCTCAAACTCTTGGGCTCAAGGGATTCTCTTGCTTCAGTCTCTCAAGTAGTTGGGACTATAGGCACCTGCCACAATGCCCAGCTATTTTTTTTAGAGACAAGGTCTCATTCTGGCTCAGCCTGGTCCCAAACCTGTGAGCTCAGGCAATCCACCTGCCTCGGCCTCCCAGAATGCTAGGATTACAGGTGTGAGCCACTGCACCTGGCCCTCAGAAATATTGTCTTATGTAAGATTACACAGCTAATAAATGGTGGAAAGATTGGGACAGGGTTGGAATTCAAGACTAACTTTAAAGCCTGTGCTCTTAACCATTATACTCTGCTAGACCACAATTATCATTCTCAACTATAGCCTTTTATTTGGTTTTCCTGTCTGGAGTTATGCTTCCTGTAATGTCACTTTTTAATTTTCAGTCTTTCAATAGCTGCCACTTGCCTAGAACTTGATAAGGTCCAAGTTTCTTAGTGCCCTCCGTGATCTGGCCCTTATTCTTCTTTCAGTTCTCCATCTCCTCCTTACCTCTGTGCTCCAGCTATGTTGCACTACACACAGCACCTCAGGTATATTATGGTCTTTCTTATACTTTTGTGCCTTTCTAATTACCTCCTTTTCTTCTTTGCCTAGCTAACTAGATTGCCCTTCAAGATTCAGTTTAGATCCTCAAACATTCTTTTCTGAAACATTTTGTAAGCGCCATCTGATCCATTTTGGTGTATATCCTCTGTGCCCTCAGGCTACTCTGTGCACTCTCATAGCACTGTCACACATTTCTGTTATAGTAATTATCACACCTAGAACAGACAAATTAACTGTTCATTGTTCACTTCTCGCCTTAGAATGTCAGCTCCTTGGCCAGGCGCAGTGGCTCACACCTGTAATCCTAACCCTCTGGGAGGCTGAGGTTGGTGGGTTGCTTGAGTTTAGGAGTTCAAGACTAGCCTGAATAAAAGTGAGACCCCCCCACCTCTACTAAAAATGGAAAAACTGAGGCAAGAGGATCGCTTGATCCTGAGCTGAAGGTTGCTGTGAGCTATGATGCCAGGGCTCTCTACCCAGGGTGACAGCTTGAGACTCTGTCTCAAAAAAGGAAAAAACAAAAAGAATGTCAGCTCTCGAGAACAAGTGCAAGTGCTGTTTTTAATCCTTTTTTGGCAACTACAATGCCTCACACGTGGAAGCATTTCTAAATATTTGTTGGCAAAATAAAATGCTGGCAATACAATCGCTTAAATTGAGGTTAAAATTACCTGTTCTTATACACATTGATTTTTATTATCTACAGAAGGATTTGTTTTTTAAGTTTTGATTTGGAGGTTTAGATAACTGAAACAATTGTAATTTCTTCTTTATACTTTGGAGCCCTCATGCGATTGACTCCAAACTGGGTTTACCCATTCTCTGATAAGTTGGTGGGAATTCTAGCCCCAGAATGATAGACTGGCAGGCACATGGAATACCTCGAAGGAACTTGGCAGCTTCAGGTTACCCTGTCAGATTTTCTTAAAATAATGGAAAATATGAAGTTCTTTACTACGGTGAGAGATATTCCCTTCCACAAGGTAGAAAGTAGCGGTAGAAAGTGTTCTAGATTGCATAGTGTAACCCAAGGTTCTCAGAGGTTCCACAAAACTTATCAATTGGTGCTTTTAAAGTCTTCCTTTCTCCAATTAAAGGGCAGTGGCATCATCCTAGCTCACAGCAACCCCTAACTCCTGGGCTTAAGTTATTATGCCTCTGCCTCCCAAGTAGCTGGGACTATAGACGTATGCCACCATGCCTAGCTAAATTTCTCTATTTTTAGTAGAAAGAGGATCTCGCTTTTGCTCAGGCTGGTCTCAAACTCCTAGCCTCAGTGATCCTCCCACTTCAGCCTCCCAGAGTGCTGGTGTAAGGATTCCAGGTGTGAGCCACCATGCCCAGCCTTTATATTTCTTAATCTTCTATGTTAATTGCTAGGGGAGTTTGAAAGGAAACTAGTCCCCACTCTTGGGCTTATGGTCTGTTGCAGTGACCATTTAACAGTCAAAGTAGTGTATAAGCATATGTAAAATAGTGATGTTCAAGCTCATTCCTTCAGTAGAGCAAATGGGCTGGTCCCCCTGGGTTCTGCCCTTGTAGTAGAAGTTGAGGAGGGGATACTTTATTTCTTTCTTCTAAATACTACTAAAATTCAACTTTAAACCTTTTGGGTTTAGGAAGGGGAGGGATTAGGAGGAGGCAGGAGAGAAAGAAGCTTCTAAGGTGCTGGTAATTGTTAAGATTCTTACATGTTCACTTTAACACTTTATTGATCTATGTAATTGGGTTTTATGTACTTTTCTGTATGTATCTTGCATTCAATAAGAATTTTTTTTAAATATATTTTTTAAAAATTACATCGCTAATGTAGAAATTTAGCGATGTCTATCTTTAAAGATTTCTCAGAAGATCCTTTGAAAGATGTTAATGGTGAGGTTCTTTTCAAATGCCATTATTTTACACGGTCCACCTTGGGTTGAGGAGCATTGCCCTCATGCTGTGCAGACTCTGAGTAGAACAGTGAAGGAAGAGATTAACATAGGCAAGAGTAGTCAGAGAAAAGAAAATATTTATTCCTCCAGGAAATATTCACTGGATACAAATCATGTGCCAGATGCTGTGCTAATGTAGGAAACTTGAGCAAGACCGAGGGGGTGGAGGAAAATAAAATTTGGATGATGTCATCTAATTCTGGTTGTAGCTCTTACTAGTCTTTATAGAATAATATTAATAGCAGTGCTTATTTCGGATTTACTTTAAAATGTTTAAAAATTTTTAATTATAAAAAGCACACAGAAATAAATTTTTAATTATTTATGGGTATGGCTCGGCGCCTATAGCCCACCCAGCTAAGGCGCCAGCCACGTACACCTAAGGTGGCGGGTTCGAATCCCCAGCCCGGACCCGCCAAACAACAATGACGGCTGCAACCAAAAAATAGCCGGGCGTTGTGGCGGGCGCCTGTGGTCCCAGCTACTTGGGAGGCGGAGGCAGGAGACTCGCTTGAGCCCAGGAGTTGGAGGTTGCTGTGAGCTGTAATGCCATGGCACTCTACCCAGGGGGACAGCTTGAGGCTCCGTCTCAAAAAAAAAAAAAAAAAATTATTATGGGTATGTAATAGTTGTACATCTTTATGGGGTATGTGTGATGTTTGATATAGGTATACAATGTGAATCAAACAAGTCAGGGTAATTGGGGAATCTGTCACCTCAGGTCTTTATCATTTCTCTTTGTTAGGAACTTCACTGTTCTACTACTTCAGTTATTTTAAAGTATACCCTAACTTAGTGTCTATTATAGTCACTTTGTTGTGCTATCAGATGTTGTTTATTCTATCTATCTAACTATATTTTTGCAACCATTCTAACCTCCACTGTAACCCTCACTCCTCGCTACCCTTCCCAGCCTCTGGTAACCATCATTCTACTATCTTGGTAGAGTGCTGTAGCATCACAGCTCACAGTAATCTCCAACTCTTGGGCTTAAGTGATTATCTTGCCTCAGCCTCCCAAGTAGCTGGGACTACAGGTGCCCACCACAAGGCCTGGTTATTTTTTTTTTTTTTGGTGCAGTTGTCATTGTTGTTTAGCTGGCCCAGGCCTGGCTGGAACCTGCCAACCTCGGTGCATGTGGCTGGTGCCCTAACCACTGTGCTATGGGCACTGAGCCTAATTTTTCTATTTTTAATAGAGATAAGGTCTAGCTCTTATTCAGAATGGTCTCCAATTCCTGAGCTCAATTGATCCTCTCACCTTAGCCTCCTGGAGTGCTTAGATTATAGGCGTGAGCCACTGCTCCTCACCAGATATCTTTTTGATACACTCAATTCCTCTCATTTGGATATTCAGTGGAATTGCTGGATCCTATAGTAATTCTTTTTTTTTTTTTTTTCTGAGACAAAGTCTTTGTTGCCATGGATAGAGTGCCATGGCATCATAGCTCACAGCAACCTCTCGCCTCAGCCTTCTGAGTACAATTGGGGTTTTATGTACTTTTCTGTATGTGGTGGGTGCTGGGACTATAGGCACTCACCCCAACACCAAGCTATTTTTTGAAATGGGGTTTTGCTCTTGCTCTTGCTCTTGCTCAGGATTATAGGCCTGATTCACCACATCTGGCCTCCTACAGTAATTCTATAGTTTCGTTTTTCTGAGAAACCTTCATACTATTCTCATAGTGGTTATGCTGATTTAAATTCCCACCAACAGTGCTCCAAGGGTTCCCCTTTCCTCACATCCTCAACAGCATTTGTTATTGTTATTCGTTTTGATGAAAGCCATTTTAACTGGGGTGAGATGATATCTCATAGTTTTGAAACAAGGGTTCCCCTTTCCTCACATCCTTAACAGCATTTGTTATTGTTATTTGTTTTGATGAAAGCCATTTTAACTGGGGTGAGATGATATAGTTTTGAAACACTCACTGTTTACTAAGAGATACACATATATTAACTCATTAATCTTTAAATAACTCTGTGAGATAGGCACTACTAGCATCTCATTTCATAGATGGGGAACTGAGGTATAGCGCTCCTAAAGTCACTCCGTCACGAAGTAGTAGAACTAGGATTCAAGCCCAACTCTTTGGCTCCCCATTGGTTTCTCTGCTCAAAATTACTGTGCTTTATGAAATGAATGCGGAGTATCAAGAGCAATGTAGGTTGATCTGGAGGCACTATTTGAAGTGGTAGTGATCCCGCTTCCAGGAATCTGTTGTTGATGTGTTTTGGAGCTCCGTGTGAATGCCTTTTCTTCTTTTTACAGACATGGCTGGATTCTGCCAAAGAAATAAAAAAGCAGGTTCGTGGTAAGTGGATATAGCCTTTTTTATAGTTCTTTCTTTCTTCTAGTAGGTCAGAGGGTTTCCAACCATTTCTGGCTGTAAGTCAGTCACTTTAGAATCCTGACTATTGCAGATTGCTTTGAAATTGAGATAAAGCCTTCCCCTGGAAGGAGATTCCATACTAGAAAATTGTAGCAGAGGTAGACACTATGGAGATGGAGGTCAGATCTTGATGATTTTTTTTTTATACAATTAGACAAAGTTGGGGAAGATAGAAAAAATTAACAATAAGAGAAAGTGGGAATGAACAATGACGAGAAAAGAAAGGATATGGGACCCAGTTCTCAAACTGATGGTGATTGAAACTACAGTGGCCTACTAGGAGGAGTTTGCTGCCAGATCCTGTAACCTTTAAAATGTTCTGGACACTTGTGTTCTAACTTTTTCTGTGTTCTCCTTCCCATAGTTCTTTTCGTTCCTTTCAACAGTTCTTTCTCCAAATTTGAAATGTAAGGGACTTTGGAAGAAAATAATTGCTTGCTACTGGTACTTCTGACATTATGGCTTTGTGCTTAGGTCTACCAAGGTGTCCAACCTTTTATTTTTTCTCTGCTGCATGTTGGAAGAAGAGTTGTCCGGAGACAAACACTAATGAGAGCTAATTAGCAAATAAAAAGCTCCATGAATAATTTTCATGATACCTGACACCACAGATAAGCAAAAGTACTCTTACAAAATCAGCTTATAGTTTGTGGGCCCCAGGGTCAACACCCCTGCAAGCCCTCTAGTGTATATCACTGCTGCACACCATGATCAGACTAGTGTCTTAGGATAACTATGTCTAGGTTGAAAAAAGTATAGATTAGTATTTTTCAGTACCAAGTTCAATGAGCCAGCTAAGGGGCAAAGACCTTTTTTTTCCTGATTAAGACTACCTGTCCTTTCAGTTTAATTTAGTTTTAAAGAAACTTCCAAGAAATGTAATAGTTATAAGCCATCATGATTAGTTAATTAACACTGTCCCCTGAAAGCAAACTTTACTTTTCATTTGTTTCTTTTTTTTTTGAGACAGAGTCTCACTCTGTTTTCCTTGGTAGAGTACCATGGCATTACAGCTTACAGCAAACTCCAACTCTTGGGCTTAAGTGATTCTCTTGCCTCAGCCTCCTGAGTAGCTAGGACTATAGGTGCCCACCAAAACACCCAGCTATTTTTTTGTTGCAGTTGTCACTCCTGTTTTAGCTGGCCGGGGCCAGGTTTGAACCTGCCACCCTTGGTATATGAGGCCAGTACCCTACCCGCTGAGCCATAGGCACTGCCCAATTTTCATTTGTTTCTTAAAAGAAAGCACTTTTGTTAAAGTAGAGAAACAAAATTCTCCTCTGGACTGGCAATGCTCTGTATTTGCTGCCTACCCATAGGAGCTTGTTTTAAAATGCAAGTCAGAGAAAAAATATTCAGAGTATTTGTGACAAGAAACACTAATCCCAGCCCCTTTCAATGAAAATACTTTTAATGTTCAGTATTACTCAGGAACAAATGGTTGTATAAGAAAACTCTTCAGGAAAAAAAGTTGACTCAGAGTTTATGATGAACGAAAAGAATATCTAATGATTATATTCCTAGATACTAAAAAACAGTCTTTTATTAAGAAAAAGAACCTAAACACTTGTCATAAAATACATACATATACATTTCAAAGACCATTGAGATAGGAGGCAAAAAAAAAAATTATAAAAAACTCTTCCTTCAACATGGTGGGGGGATCTGATATCTTACAAAAACTTTAATAGGGAGTCAAAATGTAAACATTTCATTATGGCAAAGAGAAGATGACATTTATCTATTGCAAAGATTTTCTTTTTCTTTTTTTCATCATACAAGTAATATATACTTTACTGGGAAAAATTTAAACATTATGGAAACATATCATGGAGAAGGTAAAAGTCCCCTAAATTGTGTCATCTGGTTATAATCACTGTTAAATGGTGTAATCTGCAAGACTTTTTCTATGTGTATATATATTGTGCTTTTCAAAAATACAATTATAGCCTAGGAAACATAGCAAGACCTTGTCTCTTAAAAAAAAAATTGAACTGGCTCGGCGCCTGTGGCTCAAGTGGCTAAGGCACCAGCCATATACACCTAAGGTGGCGGGTTCGAATCCAGCCTGGGCCCACCAAACAACAATGACGGCTGCAACCAAAAAATAGTTGGGCATTGTGGCGGGCACCTGTGGTACCAGCTACTTGGGAGGCTGAGGCAGGAGACTCGCTTGAGCCCAGGAGTTGGAGATTGCTGTGAGCTGTAATGCCACGGCACTCTACCCAGGGGGACAGCTTGGGGCTCTGTCTCAAAAAAAAAAAAAAATTAAACTGAGCACAGTAGCATATGCTTACAGTCCCAGCTACCAAGAGAGATGAGATAGGAGGAGTTTGGGGCCTGCCTGGGTGACATAGCAAGACCCCCCATCTCACAAAAACAAGTATACTATACATAGTTTTTTAAATTAATTTTTTAAATAGAAACTGTAAATATATGGTATAAGATTAAAAGATACAGCTGAGTATGGTACAAGGTAAAAATCTCCCTTCTTCCCTTGTCCTACTCTTGAAGTTTCCTTTCCTAGAGGCAACCATGGTAACTAATTTCTTGTGTTCTTTCCAGAAATGGTCTGAATATATGTAGACATACATACATGGGTGTGTATATTTTATTATAAATATGCAACTAATCTTTTTCGGCTAACATAATTTGGAGTACTCTCCATGTCAATATATGTAAATGTATTTCATCTCTTAAAGATTTTTAAGTGTTTATTTATTTAAATAAGGAAAGGTTTGTCTATTATTTTCCTCCCAGTTCCAACCCCTATCTTATCCATAAAAATCTATTATCATAAATTTGAGGTGATTCTTTCAATCTGTTTTTATATTTTTCTTTTGTATATCCATACTTATATATACATAATATTGCTTTTTTTTTTTTAGAGATAGAGTCTCACTTTAATGCTCTCAGTAGAGCGCTGTGGCATCACAGCTCACAGCAACTTCCAATTCCTGGGCTTAAGTGATTCTTTTGCCTCAGCTTCCTGAGTAGCTGGGACTATAGGCACCCACAATGCCTGGCTATTTTTTTGATGCAGTTTGGCCGAGTCCAGGTTTGAACCCGCCACCCTCAGTATATGGGGTTGGCGCCCTATCCACAGAGTCACAGGCACTGCCAGGTTTCTTTTGTTTTTAATTTCTGTTAGCCCCAGCCTTACCCAATCTCCCTTCTCTTAGCTTAATTTTTAGTTTTGTTTATTTTCTTGGTTCTGGGTATGAGAGATAAATTTATAGGAGGATAGTAGAATTCAGTGGTTAAAATGCCTATAATCCTAGTACTTTGGGAGGCTGAGGCAGAAGTACCACTCGAACCACATTGTGAGATCCCCATCTCTACAAAAAATAAAAACAAAAAAAGCTTTGTGTAGTGGCTAGTGCCTGTAGTCCCAGCTATTCAAGAAGCTGAGGCAGGAAGATTGCTTGAGATTGGGAGTTTGAGGTTGCAGTAAGTTAGAGTGACACCATTGCACTCAACCCTGCCAATAGAGTGAGACTCTGTCTCAAGAACAAGAACAATAGCATGAAATTTGAAGTAAAAGAACTTTGGGTTTACTAGCTGTATACTTTTCCTAAATGTCTGTTTTTTCATATACAAAAAGCATTAATATACCTACCTCTTTGGGTTTCTCTGAGGATTAAATGAGTTAATGTATAAGAGGGCTTGGCTTAGTGCCTGGTGTGCAATTAGTGCTGAACAAAATGACAGCTGTCAGCATCATAACCAATCATATTTCATTATGGCTGAATTTAAGCCTTATTCTTTGGGAAGTCAGCAGTCATGCTAGAAAAACCCTGAAGGGTAGCACTCAGCTGGAAAAATTGAAATGCATTCTCCATTTAACCTTTACTCATAATCTCTGATTTTCATTGCAGATCAAAAATACAACACATTTGTGTGAGTCTCACGATTGAATTCTTGTAGTTTTCACGCCTAAAATATTTTTGTTACAGGTGTAGTATCTAAAAGCTACCTAGGCGCCTGTAGCTTAGTGGCTAGGGCACAAGCCACGTACACAGTAGCTGGTGGGTTCGAATCCAGCCTGGGCCTGCCAAATAATAACTACAACCAAAAAATAGCTGGGCGTTGTGGCGGGCACGTGTAGTCCCAGCTACGTGGGAGGCTGAGGCAAGAGAATCACTTAAGCCCAAGAGTTTGAGGTTGCTGTGAGCTGGGACACCATGGTATTCTACTGAGGGAGACAAAGTAAGACTCTGTCTCAAAAAAGAAAAAGAAAAACTTAAAAAAATAAATGCTACCTATAGGGCCTGGTGTGGTGGCTGACCCCTATTATCCTAGCACTCTGGGAGGCCAAACTGGGTGGATTGCTTGAGCTCAGGAGTTGAAGACTAGCCTGATAGCTAGCATTGTGGCAGGCACCTATAGTCCTAGCTACTTGGGAGTCTGAGGCAAGAGGATCACTTAAGCCCAAGACTTTGAGGTTGCTGTGAGCTATGATGTCACAGCACTCTATGAAGAACTACAAAGTGAGACTCTGTCTCAAAAATAATAATAATAGTAAAATAAAAGCTACCTATATTGCCTTTTTGTCCTTATTTCTAAAATGATCTCCTAATCTCACCTATATTAGTGAGAAGAATGCTTTTATTTGAGGTACTATTGACAGATATCACAAGTAAATAATGCCAAAACCAAAAAAGAACATTTATGGGTTACCTGAATTACCTCTGAGCACTCAGAGTAGTATAGCCATGTACTACATAGTAACATTTCTGTCACCATCGTATATGATGGTAGTCCCATGGAATTATAATACCATATTTTACTACACTTATTCTAGGTTTAGCTATACAGATACTTAACATTGTGTTCCAACTGCCTATAGTATCCAGTACAGTAACATGCTGTACAGGTTTGTAGCCTATACGTATATATACCATACGGTCTATGTATATAGTAGGCTAAACTATCTTATGTTCACATGATGATGAAATTGTCTAAAGAGGCATTTCTTGGAATGTGCACATGACTACATACAGATCATAATTTGAAAACCACTAGTGGACATGAAGGATGGTTTTCATCATGCTATTTTGCCCATGTAGTTCTCATCCTTTGTAAACACAACTATTAAGTCAGATAAAAAAATGAGATCTTCTAGCTTTAACTCTTAAGCACTATCTAATTAACTTTCTTCTTTTTCTTTTTTTTCTTTACTTTTTTTTGAGACAGAGTCTCACTATGTCACCCTTGGTAGATTGCTGTGGCGTCACAGCTCACACAAACCTCAAATCTTGGGCTTAAGCTATTCTCTTGCCTCAGCCTCCCAAGTAGCTGGGACTACTGGCACCTGCCACAAAGCCTGGCTATTTTTTGGTTGTAGTTGTCATTGTTGTTTGGCAGGCCTGGGCTGGGTTTGAACCCGCCAGCTACTGTGTATGTGCCTGGTGCCATAGCTGCTGAGCTATATAGGCACTGAGCCAGAAAAATTTTGTTATCCACGAGGCATGACAGTATTTTAAAATTGCAGGGGAAAAAGAATTTTTAAAAAATATTTCAAGGCATTTCTACACTTGGCTTTAGCCAAAAGGTCAAGAAATGATTTTTTTAACTTTAACTTCATAAGCTTTATTGATATAAACATGAAATTCTTTGATGTTTATTTTTACAGGTGTCCCTTGGAATTTTACATTTAATGTAAAGTTTTATCCACCGGACCCAGCACAGTTGACAGAAGACATAACAAGGTAAATAACTAAGTAATAAATATGTAATAGTAACTCTCATAAGCTCTGGAAATTTCCCTATTCAGAATTATAGAACAATGGTGAGCTGTTAAATGCTTAGCCTAAAAGAGAAGGTTTATGGGCTCAGCGCCTGTGGCTTAAGTGGCTAAGGCACCAGCCACACACACCTAAGGTGGCAGGTTTGAATCCAGCCCGGACCCGCCAAACAACAATGATGGCTGCAACCAGCACCTGTGGTCCCAGCTACTTGGGAGGCTGAGGCAGGAGACTCGCTTGAGCCCAGGAGTTGGAGGTTGCTGTGAGCTGTGATGCCACGACACTCTACTCAGGGGGATAGCTTGAGGCTCTGTCTCCAAGAAAAAAAGAGAAAGTTTGTGGTCACTTCAAGGCAGGCTTGCAAATAATTGAACCTAAAAGCCTCAAGTGTCATGACCTGCCTGGAGGAAGTGGGCAGGGACCTAGTTTTGTTTATCATCAATGTAATACCAAGCTGTGGACAAGGCTTATGTACACCACCATACCACCCTCCAAAGGCAAGACACAAATATATGTGGTAAAATAACTCTATTGATTTTTTAATTTTTTGTATTTATACTCTTTTTCCCACCATGGGCCTTCTTACCGTGATCAAAAGAGCTAAAAGTCTCAGTGTTATTATTTCTTCCTATCTCCTTTTTAAACTGTATTTATGATTAGCTACGTGATCCCCCTGAACTGAATCTTCCTTTGAACCCACTTAATTTATGAAATAAGTCTTATACTCTTTAAAAACAGCCTACTGATATATTTAAGGAAAATGACTTTTATTGGATTCTATAAGAATATTAACAAAATAGCTGGGTGTTATGGCCAGCACCTATAGTCCCAGCTACTCGGGAGGCTGAGGCAAGAGAATCGCCTAAGCCCAAGAGCTGGAGGTTGCTATGAGCTGTGACGCCATGGCACTCTATCGAGGGTGACAAAGTGAGACTCTGTCTCTTAAAAAAAAAAAAAGAAAATAGTATATTAACAAAAATATTGAAAAGTAAGATGTTGTAAAGAGTAGAACTGTACATATTTATATCCATAAGGCTCTCACATAGAGCCTTATAACTGGTAAGTGCTTGGCAAATGTTTGTTAAATAGAACTATTAGTTATCAAAAACTGCTTTCTAATTTTGATTTTGCTGCCAACTCTCTGATTTCAGTCAAATTTATAATCTCTAAGCCTCAGTTTCTATATTTCTTAAATAGGGAGATAAATTAGACTCTTAAAAAATCCGATTATTAAGTTCTATGAAAAATCTATACCATTTTTTTCTTATTGTTGTCTAGTCACCGTACATTGTTGAAGTTGAGATGCCATGTATCTGCCTTAAAAAATTGATCTGGTTATTTCTTTTTCACACGTAATATTCGTCTTTTGGAGTTACTACTTTACTTATCTTTCTTCATCTGTATGCATAAAACAAAATGCATCCCTAAAAATCTTTGCTAATTATCTACATTGTAGAAGAGGTTAAGATTCTGGTGACTTGTTTGGCATTGCTCTGACTTTTTTGGTAAAAGGCATGTGTGTAATAACTAATTATAGATAGAAAAACTATTGCTGATGCACATATTATTCAACATATTGCTATGGTAAAAGCAAAGATGTGATTCTAATTAATATAGGAATTGCCAATTTAAACATACTTTTCCTGTTTGATGAAACAGTCTGGGCTCGGTGCCTATAGCTCAACTGGCTAAGGCGCCAGCCACGTACACCTAAGGTGGCGGGTTCGAATCCCCAGCCCGGACCCGCCAAACAACAATGACGGCTGCAACCAAAAAATAGCTGGGCGTTGTGGCGGGCACCTGTGGTCCCAGCTACTTGGGAGGCGGAGGCAGGAGACTCACTTGAGCCCACGAGTTGGAGGTTGCTGTGAGCTGTGATGCCACGGCACTCTACCCAGGGGGACAGCTTGAGGCTCTGTCTCAAAAAAAAAAAAAAAAAAGAAACAGTCTGAATTGGTCCACTCACTAGACTCCACTACTAGACTAAGCAGTAAGAGGTCAGGACCACATGCGTGAACACTGTAGTGATGGAAGTGTCTATACATATTAAGGCACTCAGTTTGTTGGACTGAACTTTTTTAACTGCAATCTGAATTCCCAACAGTTTAGCACACAGATGGAATTAGTTTTATAAGGTGGGCGATCGTATGTGGAAGGCTGTATGCAACTTAGCTCACCTTGGAGGAAAAACACACCACAGTGTTCATATCATACTGAAAATGTGTAAATAATGTCATCTTTGTATATGAAGGATACTATCTACACACTTGGCAAAGCATTGTGATGGAAAGGAAAGGGCCTGGTTTGAGAGCCAAACAGCCTTCATTGTTCTCTGGCATCGGGCAGCTAAGCCTCTGAGGGTGCCTCCTCATCTGTCATCTGTCAGTGGCACCCACCTCACAAGTTTGTTTTTTAAGATTAGATAAGATAATTTATGGATCTATGGTACTTAGTATACTTAACGAAGTATTAGTTTCATTAAGCCCTTTAGACTTTTCCAACTTTTCCTCTTTTTGTTTCTAAACATGTGTACGACAGTTACAATATTTTTTTAACCATCTATATGGAAAATTTTCACATAGAATGGAAGAAATTATAGTATGATAAACTACCATATATGCCCACTACTTAGATTGAACAGTTATTGATACAATCTCATACTTACTTAACCTATTTTCTTCTTTCTCTTTATTTTTTCCTCTCTTCTCCCCCTTTCTCCTTTTTCTCCCTGTATTTTGTTGTTGTTGCTGACATGTTAACATCTTTTCTCTTTTGGCTGTAGATATTATTTGTGTCTCCAGCTTCGGCAGGACATAGTTACAGGACGTCTGCCCTGCTCATTTGCTACCCTAGCGTTGTTAGGTTCTTACACCATCCAGTCTGAGCTGGGAGACTACGACCCAGAACTCCATGGCGTGGATTATGTCAGTGATTTTAAACTGGCCCCAAATCAGACCAAGGAACTTGAAGAAAAGGTCATGGAACTGCATAAGTCATACAGGTGAATATGTCTCCAGAGTTTGTTCTGTGTTTGTTTTGCAATAAGTTTAAACTCTTAATGTGATATTGATTCAGTATTTGCCTAAGAGGGAGCATAGTGCCATAGAGTCAGTGTGAGCTCACTTAGCTCCGGTGTAACTTTGGACAAGTTGTTTAACCCTTCTTTACCTCAGGTTTCTCATCAGAGTAATGGGCATTACATTGTAGAATGAAAATTAAATGTAATATATGTACAACACTTAGCACGGTGCCTGGTACAGCTCCGTAAATGGTAACTATTATTATTGCCTCACCTTTTTTTCAGGTTTAAAAGTTACTATGCTGTATTAAGTGCCTTGAGATGTTGAGACCAAGGGTTTTTAACTTGAGATCGATATGCATGGATAGATTTCAGAGGGCCCATGAAGCCCCTGGAAGTATTTTTAATAGGCTTTATTCACTAACTGTACTGCTTTTTTTCATGAGAACAACTGATACTCTTGGGAAGTATCCTAACACAGTAATCAAAAACAAGGGTTATAGGCAGTCTGAGCTGGGTTGAAATCTTTTTTTTTTTTTTTTTTGAGACAGAATCTCAAGATGTCACCCTCAGTAGAGTGCCTTGCCATCACAGCTCACAGCCACCTCCAACTCTTGGGCTCAAGCAATTCTCTTGCCTCAGCCTCCCAAGTAGCTGGGACTACAGGCGCCCACCACAATGCCTGGCTGTTTTTTGGTTGTAGTTGTCATTGTTTGTCAGGCCCTAGCCGAATTTGAACTTGCTGGCTCCAGTGTATGTGGCTGGCACCCTTAGCTGCTGAGCTATAGGCACCCAGGCAGTATACCACCTTCAACTTGTTAATAATTAACTAAAGGGGGGCATCACCTGTGGCTCAGTGAGTAGGGCACCGGCCCCATATATGGAGGGTGGTGGGTTCAAAACTGGCCCCGGCCAAACTGCAACAACAACAACAAAAATAGCTGGCATTGTGGCGGGCGCCTGCAGTCCCAGCTACTGGGAAGGCTGAGGCAAGAGAATTGCCTAAGCCCAAGAGCTGGAGGTTGCTGTGAGCTGTGATGCCATGGCACTCTACTGAAGATGACATAGTGAGACTCTGTCTCAAAAAAAAAAAAATAGCCAGGCGTTCTGGTGAGTACATTAGTCCCAGCTACTTGGGAAGCTGAGGCAAGAGAATCACTTAAGCCCAAGAGTTTGAGGTTGCTGTGAGCTGTGACACCACGACACTCTACTGAGGGTGACATAGTGAGACTCTGTCTCAAAATAATAATAATAATAATGCTAAGATACTTGCCTTTTTGACTGTATTGAAATGGGTGAAGCACAAATCAAGGCATTTGCACCAAACTGTACTGGCATTCATTATGTTATTCATCAATGTACACTTGCAGTTAAAAAATTTAAAAAGGCCAATTTACCTAAGAATTTTCTTAATGAAGCAATAAACAGTATTAATTTTATTAAATCTTGAATACATTTCTCTTTTGTTTTTTTTTAAATGAGACAGAGTCTCACTATGTTGCCCTCAGTATAGTGCCGTGGCATCACAGCTCACAGCAACCTCAAACTCTTGGGCTTCAGTGATTCTCTTGCCTCAGCCTTCCAAGTAGCTGGGCTACAGGCTCCCACCACAATGCCTGGCTATTGAATACATTTCTATATAACATTCTGCATGATTAAATGAGATGTATGCATAAAGTATACTTATACTTTTGAAGTACAGTAGTTGTTTCAAGGATAATTACTTGTGTAATTTGAATTATGAGCTGAATTAACCACCTTTTCTATAAACATTGTTTTTTCCTGGAAAAAATGACTGACAAACTATGATTATTCAGTCAGAGTTACTCGGCACTCATTTTCTTTTTTTAATTTGTTTTACTTTTTTTTAAATTTCTTATAGCATAACTATGTACATTAATGCAATCATGGGGTATAGTGTGCTGTTTTCATGTACATTTTGAAATATTCTCATCAAACTGGTCAGGATAACCTTCATGTCATTTTCTTAGTTATTGAGTTAAAACATTCATAGGCATTCATTTTTTAAAAAATGAATGAGCTGGTGCTTTTAGAAAAACAAATGACAGTATTTGTTGATAATGACAAATTTTACGTTTTCAAGTAAAAATTAAAATTTTGAAAAACTTTTATTTGCCACTGTGATCGTGACAGCTTTTAAATACTTAAAGACTATTTCTGCCAAGGGCAATAGTGATTTTAATGAATGTGATTTTTCTTATACATTTGTTTTATAATAAAATGTATCAACATTTGGAAGATTTACATAACTTGGTGAGCCAGTATTTTTCAGATAAACCATGCACAATGTTACAAAATCATCATGAATAAGAAAAGATGTATTCAAAATGCGATATAGGCTGGGTGTGGTGCCTCATGCCTGTAATCCCAGCGCTTTGGGAGGCCAAGCTAGATGATTGCTTAAACCCAGGAGTTCAAGACCAGTGTGGGCAACATTGCAAGACCCTGTCTCTACCAGAAATAAAAAAGATATGGGTGTGGAGGCATGTATCTATAGTCCTAGAGGTTTGATGCTGAGGTGGGAGGAGCCCTGGCACTCCGGAGTTCAACATTGCAATGAGCCATTGCATCATGCCATTGCACTCGAGTCTGAGTGACAGAGACCCTGTCTCCTAAAAAGTTTTTTTAAAAAGCAAGATAAAACAGTGGATCTTAATGTAACAGTTCAAAAAGTGCATTGACACGTTCCACATTTCATATTGCAATTAACCTTTAAGAAACTGCCATGGTTGAGTTTCAGTATAATATCAAAGAAGAATATTTTAAATTCTCAGTCTTTCCTTTTCTAATTACATATTTATGTGAGATCAGATTTCTTCATATAGTACCAAATTAATATATTGGAACAGATTGAATGCAGAAGGTAGGCGAATCCAGCTGTCTTCTAAGACAGACACTAAAGTAATTTGTAAATATGTAAAACAATGTTACCTTTTCATTACATTTTTGGGAAAATATTGCTATTTTTCACAAATAATGTTATGAATGTTAAAAATAATGGATTCATTTTTATTCTTTATAAATTTAATTAATAGGCCAGGGATGGTGGCTCATGCCTATAATCCTAGCACCCTGAAAGGCCAAGGCAGCAGGGTTGCTTGAATTCAGGAGTTCCAAAGTAGTCTGGGCAAGAGTGAGACCCTGCCTCTACTAAAAATAGAAAAATTATCTAGGCATTGTGGTGGGTGCCTGTAGTCCAAGCTACTCAGGAGGCTGAGGCTGGAAGATGACTTGAACTCAGGAGTTGGAGATTGCTGTGAGCCATGGCATTCTGGCCTGGGGGCAACAGTGAGACTCTGTCTCCAAAAGAAAGAAAGAAAGAAACTTAATAAGTATTTTTAATTTTTCTTAGTTTTAAGCTTTCTAATATAGTAAACACTAATAGGTATAAATAATGTAAAGCTCTTTGGAGTCCTCAATAGTTGTTACAATAATTAAGAGAGTAAAGAGGTCCTAAGGCCAAAAAAGTTTCAGAACCACTGAGTTAGGCAATAGGGTACCATCATTAAAAGGGTAGGCTCTGGGCAGGACGCAGTGGCTCACACCTGTAATCCTAGCCCTCTGGGAGGCTGAGGTGGGTGGATTGCCAGAGTTGACAGGTTCGAGACCAGCCTGAGCAAGAGTGTGACCCCCCATCTCTAAAAATAGCCAGGCGGGCTCAGTGCCTGTGACTCAAGTGGCTAAAGCACCAGCCACATACACCTTTATTGGTGGATTCAAATCCAGCCTGGGCCCGCCAAACGGCAATGATGGCTGCAACCAAAAAATAGCCAGGCATTGTGGTGGGCACCTGTAGTCCCAGCTACTTGGGAGGCGGAGGTGGCAGACTTACTTGAGCCCAGGAGTTGAAGGTTGCTGTGAGCTGTGATGCCACAGCACTCAACCCAGGGTGACAGCTTGAGGCTTTGTTTCAAATAAATAAATAAATAAAATTAAAAAAATTAAAATAGCCAGGCATTTTAGTAGGCATCTGTAGTCCCAGCTAATTGGGAGGCTGAGGCAAGAGAATTGCTTAAGCCCAGGAGTTGGAGGTTGCTGTGAGCTGCGATGCTACTGCACTCTACCCAGGGCAACAGCTTGAGGCCCTGTCTCAAAAAAAAAAAAAAAAAGATTCATTATGATGTTTGATTATATTGATGCTGTACAATAATGGCGTTTTAACTAATCTAAAGAAACTTATGCTGAGGAATAATTATTTACTAGGCACTGGAAATTACAATATTAGCAAATACTACCCTCCTTGACAAATAGAAGACTATCTACATAAATGGAACCCTTAGTAGTGGCCCTTTGCCCAGACAGGGATTTTGAAGCTATAATTAACACTTTAAATCAAGCAAATCAAGCTTTAATATTAATTGCCCTCCACTTATGGGCACTAGGAAGGTATGTAAACGTGTCAGTTTCTACCCCACACACAATTAATTATTTTAAATTATAATAAGGAGGTACAGCAAACATTAATAAAAGGCTATGACATGGCCCTGGAACTCACTGAATGCCTCTATCCTGACCCCACTTGCTTGAAATAAATAAATACAGGGAAATTTTGTTGTATGTTCTTTTTAATGAGCAAGAGTTAACTAGTGCCAGAACTCCCTATTTAGGTACTTCTGTAAGCTGCAGTACTTACAAGTAGTAAATTATTAGGTGGTGTTGAATAAATTCAAGACGGTACTCTTAGGGGTTTAGAGGTATCTAATCTTTTCCCAGCCTGTTTATCATAACTTTCAGAGGTCTTAGAAATTTTAGGAAAAACTTTGAGGTTTAAAATTTTAAGGTGAAGGCTCGACGCCTGGGGCTCAAGTGGCTAAGGCGCCAGCCACATACGCCTAAGGTGGCAGGTTCGAATCCAGCCTGGGCCCGCCAAACAACAATGACAGCTGCAACCAAAAAATAGCCAGGCGTTGTGGCAGGCGCCTGTGATC